TGAATTCTCTAAAAGCCATGAGTCCAAATAAACCTCTCCTCCTTTAAGTTGTGAGTGTAGGGCACTGCGTGTCAGCAATGGGTAAGTGCCTAAACAGGATCCGAAACCTTTTTCAGAAGTCTAATACTGGTCAGAGATCTTGTCTTTATTTAAACTTACATTCTGTCTGGATTTGACATGGCCAATCTGCCAGTGGAAGAATGTTTGCATCAACTCTATCCTTTCCTTTTGTTTGCTGATGGCATGAGACAAGCTGGAAATCACCTGTAAAGAGCAATGAACCTAATTATTGTGATATTACAATAATAATTGGTAAAGTGATTTTCTCATATATCAAAAAGTGCTAAAGAGAATAGCTATGAGTCTCTACTGTATTCATCTAGTTAGCTTCATTATTATTATTAAAAAGACCACAAAAATTCACCATGTGAATACACTACATATTAACAAATAAAGGGGAATAAGAGGAAACTCATTGAGTACATATTTTGTTCATAGCCAATACAAGTTTCTGTATATGAAAATTAATATAGTTATTGATATTTAATTCAGGAAAACAATTGTACATTTGAAAGGTTTGCTATGTATACAAATTCACTACACTTGTGAGCAGGGCTAGGTTTTAAATATCTTCTAGTCATTTGTACTTACTATCTTGGTATAGGAATTTTTCAATAACTGTTTAGCAATTCTGGGGTTTAAGAATTTTATAAAAGCAAATAATAGTGACATTTTGATATGCTTCCTCAGTGATATTATTTTTGTTCTTAAAATAATGAAGGCCTTTAAATCCTAAGATAACATTCTCACTTACAAAGAACTGAATAATTGAAAATGACCATATTAAAAAGATATTTAATGAATTGGGACACATATACCAAGAGACATTTGTTACTGTTGTTCTTTTCAAAAGAGGAAATGGCACACATTCTAAGATAACTGTTATATTCTATTCTTAAGCTGGATGGCAGTTCACTTTATTCATCTTCATAAATTCAACATAATGTGAAAACTTAAAATTTTAGAACAGAGTTTTTTGAAAGTAATAGAGAAAATGACTAACATTAGTGTCTATTCATTCAGAAAACAAACCAAACAAGATGTGCAATTTTATACCCTGTAAAATGAAGTATGTGTATATTTTAAAAACACGCAATCTTCATCTAGTTCACTGAAACGCCTTGGTGGTGTTTCCTTTGACCAGCAGCTGAGGTGTCTGCTTGAGTCCCTCTTCTCTGGAAGCTGCTACCCTCCATCCGTGAACTGCAGAAATTTGTTGCCCAGCTGCTTTGCTCAAGGTGCTATCAGGAGGCAAAAGACTAGCAGAGACTTGAACTCTACTCTCAAGATCTCAAGAGGCAACAAAGTGAAAGTAGGGACGGTTTCTGTGTTTATCTTCAGTAGTAAAGAAAGAGAATTTGAGGTACTTAAAATATTCCCTAAAAGGACAGTTTAAAATGTAGGTAATATTTATTCCATGATGTTCTTTAAAGGGCAGGTAGAATGGAAAAAAGGTTAGAAAGATAAAGACCAGTGCGCTTGTATTTAGCAGACCCTCTTAAAACCTGAACACCAAAGCCAAAGTAAAGATAAAATGGCATCACGCTGACATGTTTAGGAAGAATACATCCTATGGCTAGGCACTCATTTTTCTATCAGTTTCTGAAGCAATTTCCTGTTTATATCTTATATGACCTAAATAATCATCAGTTCTTAGAACTTATTACTTAGTGAAACATTTACTGAATCTCAATTAAAAAGAGATATTAAGCTAGCCATAGTGGCACATGCCTGTAATCTCAGCCCTCAGGAGGCTACAGCAGGAGGATTGCTTTGAGTTCAAGGCCAGCCTGGGCTTCACAGTGAGTTCAAGGCCAGCCTGGAACACACAGCAAGATCCTGTCTCAAAAAAAACAACAACAACAGAGAGACATAAGAAGACCTCATCTTTTCTCCTAATGGAAATTTCAAAGGCTTTCTGCAGCTCCTTCAAGTCATTGATCTGGCTGCACAGTTGCTTTACATGTGCTGCATGTTTTTCCTTCTCTTTTTTCATTTCCATTTGGTGCCAGTCAATAAAATTAAGTCTCCATTTGCTTAGTTCAGATATAATGTTTGTATGAAAAATAAATGTACAATTAAGTAGTTCTTCCTTAATACCACTTCAAACTGAAATTTAAAAAAATTTAAAAATCACAGCAAGTGGTCAACAAAACATGTAAAAATCACAACATACTAATGATGATGTGTGCAAGTTCAACAGTCATGGCTCTTTGTGGTTCATATTTACCAGAAAACTTAGCTTTTTCCTATTTTAAGTTACTTTGTATAAAATCTTATCTTTGAAAAGAAAATTTCAGGCCTCATTCATTAAATCCCTTTGTCTATTCAAGGACTTAAGTGTCCACATTAAAATGGATCAGGTAAGAAAGAAATTCAGAACTGCAGGCTAGGCTGAGCCATGATGACTAGGACACTGTTTAGATAGAGGTGGTAGTGGGAACTGTGGGAGTTGAAGCTTTCTTCCCCAAACCACTTATCATACTGGTCACCTTACCTCAAGTGGCTGTGTCTTTACTCTACTGCCCAGCATAAGTAAAAAGACTAAATAATCATTTCTCACAACAAACAAATAACACATATGGCTAACTGAACACAGAACAATTTGAACGGTTGGGTATGTATGACTCCAGTGGACTTACACCATTATTGGAAGTATGAAACCTGTTCCAAAGGAAGAAGACTAGTAGACACTATGCTAAAAGGTTATTTCTAGAATTTAAAGTATGGTTTCTAGACTGCAGGATCATCTGGGTGCTTGAGAGCAGTGAATCATTTTGGGTCCTGCCCAAGACCTACTGAGCATCAAGCTGCAGTTTAACCAGATCTCCAGGTGGCTCCTATGTACCTGACCCACAAACCTAAGACTTGGGACTCATCTGAGGAAACTAAACTTTTGTTTGTTTGTTGTTTTTCTTTTTTTTTGTGGTGCTGGGAATTGAATCCAGGTCCTTGTGCATGCTAGGTATGCTGAGCTACATCCCCAACCTCTCTAAAGATGTTTTTTTAAGAAAAGCTTTTGAAAAAGAAGAATAAACAGTAGACTTGAGCAAAACTACTGCACTACATATTAAATTAAACAACTGTAACTGAACAGCTGCAATACCTTAAGACCGGAACTCCAAAGATTGAGGACCTTTTCCATCTTCTGAAGGTTTTCATCAGAAACAAAGCAAACACCTACAATTATTTCATGGGGATCTGTATGGGTAGAATTGGTTGCTGGTGAAGAAGAGTCACCTAAAAGACATGAACTGAAAAAAAATCCATGACTGGGTGAGAAGGCTTTCTTGGTGATAGCCCTGGTGATGACCCTAGGATAAAAGAAGAGTTGAAGTAGCCAAGCCAAATGGAAAATCCCCCAGATTGGTAAGGAGTTACACTGAAAGGCTGCCAGATGTCTGCTAACTGTGAAGGCTGGGAAAAATACAGAGAAATTACCTTTCAGGGACACTTTTATCTGGCTATTTTAAATTTCAGTATTGTCAATGATTTAGGACTCTCTAGGATGAGATGCTTCCTATACCACACACCACACATGGGTGAATGACCCCTATCTCAAACAGGATGCTTCTATATCCAGGTCTGACCTGAGCAGAAAGTGTTATCGCCCATATCATCCTATTAGCATTAACTAAGTTCTTTCTATGTGCCTGTAATAAAAATGTTAGAGTATCAGTTCCCATAACACACACTACACTAAGAAGCTGGTATTATTATCTGTGTTTCAATGATGAGAGAGTTAAATAATTAACCAAGGTCAGAGTGGTTGTGCACAGGTCATTATTATTTTATCCTGAAATCTGGGATGGGTCTTACCAATGCTAAGATTCTACGATATAAATAAGAAGTAACTAGTAATTTAACTTAGCAGATACTCTGTTGTAAGGCTTTCTCTCAGCCTTCACAATGTAGGCGAGAAATATATGCATCTCTCTGGATATATGTACTCATACATGTAAGTCATCACTTGTGCTTAAAAAGAAAGGTGAGGGTGAGCCACAGCCAGAAAGGGAATTGGTGTCTATCTCTAAAAACCATAAAATAGAAAAGTTAATATTTTACCACACATCTGTGCTGGAATTTGACACTATTCATCATCATTTCTCATATATCTCACATTTGTTTTAAGGGTACTAATAACCAAGATCGAAGGACTTTGCTCACTTCCTTACTAAATGGAGCAAAGCTAGCCAAACCTACTGTAGAACTTGTTACTTAAAAGTGAATTTTCCAAGAATTCTTTGCAAAAGGGAAGATCATTCTAAAATATGAATGATGACATTAAAAATATACCATAATACCAAGTTTGGCTTATGAAGCACTATGTATTCTGAGGATGGCTGAGGAATCCACAAAATGAGACAGAATGACACAGTACACATTTGCTCCTTCACTGGGTTTACCAGTCAGATCTGCACTCACAAGGAAAACAACAGACATTTTTTTAAATTGTTGGGAAAAAAATACACTTAACTTCTAAAAAAACAGCCATGCAACTTAAGAACTTGGAAGGAAACTTCCATGTGAGGAAGCTAAAGGGTAGAGGCATTTCTTACATGGTGGTTTAAAAGGTTTCCACATTAAATGACACTGAATCACAGAGTAAGGAATGTGTTCCATTTTTATTTTTTAAATTACTCTATGTGAAGGAAAAGTTTCCATCTGGTTCTAGTATGCTTTTAAAATATCTTTAACATCTGCTAATCTCTCCTTTCAACAAAGACAAAGCAGATTTCAGATGCAATACACCAACAGTAGGTAAAATTTAATAATTTTATTTTGTTGTATTTATTTGTATCACTACTTATTGTATGAAGTGCATATTAGTTTTAGGTTATATTAACTAACAACTGATATAAAGTTTCCTTTTAAATGAATTTAAAAATGGAACTTTGTTTTTGGAGACAAGGTCTCTCTATGTAGTTCAGACTGGCCTTGAACTCTCAGTGATCCTCCTGCGTCAGCCTCCCCAGTACTGTGCTGAGTACTCAGCCCAGCTTAAAACTGGACATATTTAAAGAAAAAAAATAGCAGAACAGGTGGTATATATAAAGATAACAAAAATCATTAGAATGGAACACATATGATTGAATAAATAGTAAATAGTAAATAGTGCATTTTTTCAGGACTGAAGATTGAGCCCAGGGCCTTCACACTGAGCTATATCCCTAGCTTTTTCTAATTTTATCTTGAGACAGAGTCACTATATTGTCCAGGTTGGGATTGAATTTTTAGTCTTCCTGACTCAGCCTCCTTGAGTGCTGGAATTACAAGCATGTGTCGCCACACCTGGCTTAACCTGTTTAATTGTACAATTTTGGAAATGTATGAAATTTAAAAAAATTTTATCCTTAAATTAGCAACAACATCATTTAAAAATGCTATCAATAAGTAATATATTGACATCATGCCTCTTATTATATAGATAATATTTATCAAATCACTAGCATTATATATTAATAAAAACAAGCTAAGGAAAGTCATACCATCTGCCTTTGAATGACTTGAAATATTTGTCGCATCCTTTTCCACCTTCCATTGGAGTTTCTCTTACTACAGAGCTATTTCCAGCTGAAAAGAAAGGGTTTTAAAAAATTAAACCACTTAGATAAAATGCTTAATGATGAATGCCTAATTTAACAAGGTAATAATATATAAACAAAATTTTAGAACAAAGAAAATATAACATCCTGAGGACACAAGAACACTATGACAAAAGACAAGAAAGAAAAAAATCTGAAACTAGAAAAGACTTATTGTATCACTGATAAGCTCAATCTCACCCACCAAACATGGGTGAAAGACAATTCAGTCTACTGTAGCATTCAGTCCACATTAAGAGAATAAGTGGGAAAAATAGTAAAACAGAAAAGAACTTGCTATCTTGTGACACTGGGTATTTTTCAGGGGTTCCTGCTTTTCACTAGCTGCCATCAGCTCTAGGTGGCACCAAAATCAGGACCTCCCTGCTGCCACTTAAGAGTCAATATATGGCAAAAAGGGACCTGAGAAAAACCTCATAAGAATAGTTGTGTTGGAGGCTAATATATACTGTGCCAACTTCCAAATGTACCCTCCTTATACCGGATGACCACAGTACTAAGAGCAAAGAGAATGTGTGATGGTAAGTTTCCATAGTCCATTCTAACAGTCAGTCTACTTGTGGGTCAGGGTATCTAATCTCCTTGTGTGTTGTATGTTTTTATTAGAAAAGGCAGGTCATAAACAAAGAAATGCATCTTACATGGAAAAAGGAGCAATGACCTTAAGTCCTGGGGAGCCGGGCAAGGAAAGGAATCCTGAGTTGTGTCCCTGGTAGTAACAGTACTGGGGTACTGCTGGCAACTGGGGAGGAGACACGCTTTTGGTGATCCCCATCAGGGTAGAGGTATATAGGGCACAATGTGGATTTACCTATTTATGTTTTTAAGAGAGAATGCAGCTCTTTGAGTTTGCAGCAGCAAGTGCGTGTTGAGGTACTCAGTGTAATCAAAACACGATTGAGATCACTGATGCAGAATTTATGAATAAATGCAAAGTTCATATTTCTTGAAGATAATGAAATGTGGGTAGAAAATCTTGTCAGAGTAGAAAATTTTTAAGGTCCTCCTATTTGCTGTTCTACTGCAGTAGGCTGAACCTGAGGAACAATGAAATCCCTCTCTATGGAGGTAAGGAACAGTAACTAGGGCAGTGACTTGCTGGAAACCCAATAGTCTTTTGACTCTGAGTAGGCTGTGCCACATGCCTTCAAGAACAGAGGTCCTTGCTGGTAGGTCTACAGTGTGGTAACTGTCCACCATCAGGGCTGTTTGAGGAAGGTGTTCTATGCCTTTTGAAAGAATACTTATTTAGAGTGAGTTGTTTGGGATCTTGTACATACTAAGAAATGTACAGGTTGAAGGAGCTTTACTTTCTCTCATCTATCAGTGCAGATTCTGGTTTATATCAGCTCTCAATTCTGTTCCTTACACCGTCCACAGATGGGTTCACTTTTGTCCTGAATATTCAAACAGTCCTTCATGCCCATGTAAATACCACTTAGAAAGAACTAGTATGTGATTCATAAAGGTACTAAAGAGATTACCTAAGGTCCATCTTTAATGTTGAGCTTGGGCATTCAGTTTTCAGGATATATCTGGCATAAAACTGTTCAAACAAGAATTGAGGTGGTGCCTAAAACTTTTCATAGAAAAACTAACAAATTGGCCAATATTAAGATTTGAAACAATGAAGGCAAGGAAACATAGTGTCCCAGAAAGGACAGGCAGGAAGAAGCCCCACCTAGCCACCAGATTACAGACCAAAGCTTCTGTTTCTAACATTCCTGAGGGTTTGCACACAAAACAATAACAAATGTCCTGTTGGACCGCAGTGAAAATGGTGGGATGGTAAGCAACAGCAACTGAGCCTCTTTGAGATTCAGAACCCAGAAAATGGAAAATAACAACATGTGGAGGAAAACAAATGGAGGGACTAGAACCCTATGAGACAGGAAGGATTTGATGGTAAAATTAAAACCTATAGAGAAATGAAAGAGGAAAAACAAGGTTTAATAAGGAGGGCACATTATGCACTTTCCCCCTTGTTCCTGGCTTGTGGCTCACTAAAAAGAAGATTGAATCTATAAAGTGAAGGTGAAGGACTCCACCAGGCTTCATGGAAAAACATGATGTTGAAGCATACTGACAGATGCTGTGAGCTGCAATGGTAAACTGCTCCAGTGGAGGGGATAACCATGAAGAAAGTGCTTGGTTGGATGCCATCCCAGGGAAAGCTTGATTGTTTGAATTCAGAACTCAGAGAAAGCAAGTGATAGATTCCCATAGTGACAGGGTGAGGGAGAGCCAAGGGAAACAACTGTGGTCAGGGAGCTGGGTCAGGGTGCCAAGAGATCACCAGAGGCATTGAAGGTGAGGACACTGGACTCACCCACAGCTGGAGGCCAGGTTTAGCCTGAATTGCTCTGACTTTGAAAGTTGCAGAATTAGTGCCTTTGCTCTAATCCTACTGACTGTTGCTACCAACATCCAGCAGGGATCTAGTGTCTGTCTGTCTTCCTTATCTAGCAATGTGATCACATACATGTCTTGACTTGGACACGGCCACAAAATTGTAGATTGCAGAAGAAAAACACGTTTGAAATCACAGAGAAATTTTTGTTTTTGGTTCTTTTTTTGGTTTTTCCCTTTTGATTTTGTTGTGAGTGTTCACATTGTTTTGAGTCTTTTCTTCTAGTCTTCTTTCTTCATTTCTTCTTCACCAGTTTGTTGCAGCTTGGAGAATTGTTCTTCTTTGTGGATTCTTATCTCTTTTTCTTTTTTCTTTTTTTCTACTTTTTATTTTTCTCTCCCTTTACTTTTTCTCTTATTTTTCCTCAGTGTATCATTCCTTTCTTTTTTTCTTCAATTTTTTCTCTTACCGTTAGCTAATTCTATAAACATCCTTTGACAGCTCCATAAGATCCTCTGTACCAATTCTCTCTCCTCTTCCTCCTATCATAGTGTTTAAGGTTTCAAAGTTTTCCTCTAGCATTCTTCCATTCTCAGTACCCTATATCTTTAATACCATAATGATGCAGCACTGTTCATTAGCACTTAATTCTGTAAAATTACTGTTCAATTCTTTTCTACCATTTGCAGAAATATACTTGTTGCATTTGGTTTATATTAGCTGCAAGTCAATACCTGGACTGTCTCAATGTTTACACCATATTGGCAGATTTCTTCTCTAGAACTAATGCTAGTAAATAATTGGGTCTTAGGGTATGTTACTATCCAATTAGTCTTGGAATGTCATACTGTAGCTGATACATTTCAGCAATGCTGAAGTAGGCAGTAACCATAGCCAGGAGGTACTGATGGGGAGAGAGGAGGATAGTAAGAGGGCAGGCCACCAGGAAGCAGAGGGATGTAGGGACAAGGACTGAGAGGTTACAGCAGGGCTTCTGTCAGAGAAGAGACCCCAATATCAGACCTGTTTCATTGCCACAAGTCAGATTGTTGGAGATTGTCTGCAAATGAGAGCATTCAGGAGAAGGGAGGCCATTATAGTCAGGATGACACTCTCAAAGGTCTCTGTCAAAACAGGGAATTGAGGTCGTTTATATGAGAAGGTGGTCTTTCCAGTTAGAGCAAATGGGTTTCCCAGAGCTATGGGGAGGAACCAGGCATTTCAGGAAGCCCAAGCCAAGAAGCCAAATCCAGGGGAGTTCATGGCCTGGGCTCAGATACCAGAGGATTCAGGGAGAGGACTGCATGCCCATCCAATCTGCCAAGATCAGCCAGATCTTGAAGGGAGACAGTGTTGAGACCTGAAGTGGCCCTGAGGGTGGGAGGATGAGTTTGGGGCTCCCAGGAAGGACTGGAGGATTGTGGAGTTCAAAGTCTGCCTTCCCCATGCTATGCCACAGTGACAGCCCATCCTAGGGGAGAAGGAACTCACTTTACCACATGCTCTTGGGTTCATGTCCCAGGACAGGAATCTTTTGACAATAGGATCCTCTGTGAGGAGAGCTTAGTGTTAGGTTGGGACTTGGAAAAGTTTCTTTTTTTTTGTGGCTGAAAGGATGGGGATCAGAACCTCACCTGCATGCAAAATGGTTGTGGTTTGGGACAGATGGATGGGGAAGAAGAATGACATGCACTGGGTGGGGGGAGGAGCTCATACATGAGATCCCTAGAAGAGTAACAGAGCAAGAGCCTGGGTAGCAACAACTATCTTACTGGTTAGGACCTTAGAGCAGACAGTGATGGCCTTTCAAGGCACATGAATTGAACACTCCAAAGGCAGAAAGCATCAAGGTCATATTCTACTATGATGGTCACAGGACTGTTATCTATGTTTTGAGGAGAGATGGTGCCCAAATCCTCCAGGAATTGAGAGCTCAAGGCTCACAGAGCACTCCTTTCCATGGGTGAAAGGGGTGACCAGATATCTCCTTTTTCCTACATAATGGATGGAAATGCTGTGTGGAGTCTCCTTATCCAGCAGCCTGGAAAAGGCTGTGTGGTGCTCAGGCAACACTGAGGACTGGTGCTTCATCTTCATCTTCCTGTTGAGGCCACAAGGCTTATCCATGATACCCATATGTGTGTAAATCACAGGGCTTAGCTATGCCAATGATTTCTGTGGGTCCTCATGCCACAAAGAGATAATTCCTCCAACTGTTTTGAGATGGGGCCTGAGACTTTTCCTGAGTGCTACTTCAAGTCACTGGGACCCTCCTCCTCCTCCTTCTCTTCACACTGATTCCTACTCCATCTTCCTTTGGAAGCCAGTGGACCCAGATGGGGGGGCTGGAAATGTCCCTCTGATTGAGTCATAACACCCCTGGTGATCCTCCTCCTGTTCCACTGCTGGTTATGATTCTCAGAACCAGCTCTTTTGCTTCTTCTGGGCAGGCAACTGAGACAGGAAGTAGTGAACTAGCCCAAGAACTCTGTTATAGAGACCCATGAGATTCTCCTGCAACTCTTCCTCAGACTCTCAAGACTTGTCTCTCTTCCTCTTCTGAACGCAGGCCCAAGGTGGGAGGCCATGTGGTACCACCTGGCCTGAGGAAACATACTGACATCTGGGTACAGCTCCTGTCTTTGGTATTCAGCCTTTGACTCTCTAAACCCAACTTCCTCCTTCCAGATAATCCATGAATTTCTTCCAGTCTTGTCCCATGCATTGTTTCATCCTTAACCTTTGCTGATCTACATCACATCCCAATTCTTCTTGCTACTGCCTCCTGCCACTGTGCCTATGAACTCCTTCACACTTACACCCATTCACTCCTGGGGGAAAGGCACTGTGCTTGAGACGCCTTTTTCCCTGTCAATGCTTGGATTCATCTCCTAACTCTTCCTGCTCTGCAAGTTTTCCATTTATTGCCCATCCTTGTCAAACCCCTATCTTTTCTTTTCCCCATGTATGCCTTCCCAAGTCCCTCCTTTCTTGTTCTGCAGCCACCTTGCTTCTTACTGTTCACCTTCAAAGACCACTTTTGTCCTCAGTACCCTCACTTGATTTTCCTGGGATCACATCATCATGATAATCACCTCCTGGATGTATCTGGGGTAGTAGCCTATGGGCTCTGGTACACAGTCTGGGAACATGGATAAAAAGTGGCCTTGACTTCTTCCAAATGCCTTAT